CAGCAGTAAGCTGAGTAGATGCTCCTCTGTAAAGCAGAACAGGATCTCCAGGGACAGCTGTTTGAAGGTTCCTCCCGTTTCCCTCTTAAGGAAGCTGCTGTACACAAACTGGTTATGAATTAAATCCCTTAAATCTCTGCAATTCAGCATATGCAGTCAGAGGCCCCGTGGTTTCACACGGTTCTCTGAGCCCAAGCTATGTACTTGCAATCTCCCTCCTGCTGTGAAGATACCAAGGGACTAAGTTACACTGAAATGGAAGAGGAGAACGTGGCAATCAAAGAAGGGTCTAAGACCGAGGTATCGATAAAATAGATGCCGTGAGAATTTCTATTTAGCACCAGTGCTGCCCACGGTGAGTGCACAGACTAGGAAATTGCACTCAAATGCAAGACTTGCTATTGAGGAAGTGATGGAGGAGGAGGGAAGCATCGGCTGGGGTGTCCCACTTCAGTCCTCGCATTCACATCTGGGATGACCACACGCACAGAGCGAGCAGGAAAGGATGATGGTGGGGGCAGGAGCATTTTCTCATTTAATGGAATCACATTTTTCACTCCCATAAATAATAATATATATATAAAAATAAAATCTCTAATTTCACCATACCTAGAGCTCTCCAAATGAGACAGAAAATGACAGTGAAGCAAATGTACGGCCAGTTCCACTCATGATTTTCTCCAATGGTGGAAACTCCAAGAAAGATGAAGATGAGGGTATCACTAACACTGCTCCACATCTTCATGAAGTATTTGACTGTGGTGTGAGACTTCAGAGAGATGTTGGCCTCCACATAACGTTTCATGCCCATGGCACAAGCAATGATGCTGAGAAAATGAAAAGGAAACAATAAATGCTTCTAATTAAGCACACAAAATCAAAATATAGTCATTTATAAAAACGTAGCCTTCATCAAGTCTTAGACATTTGCAGACATCTCACTGGGTAGTGATTTGCTTCCTACATCAGTCCAATAGTATTACGAGGACCACCAGGACAATAAGATACTATATAGGTTGACGAGACTGTCTGAATCTGCTTTTATAACACATAAGCAACTCACCATTTATTGCATTTATCGTAGCCACACAGCAATGCCTACAATGAACTGCACCCAGCTCTTCCCACCACAATACTCTGCTTTCCGTTCTTTAACTCTGCCAGACTCTCACCATCTGGGCTGAAGAGTTTCATGCTTAGGAGCCCACATCACCTATTTTGCCCAGATGAGAAAAAGGCATTTGAGGGAATGGGAGACATGTTTCTCAGCATGAGAAATGCGTAAACAGGATTCCTGTGAGTTTGGCTGATATCTGGTCACTACAGCAGATTCTTGTAGGACTTGGAATCGGTGTAGCTTAAGGGCAGCCGGAATGCTGTACTCCTTCACCCAAGAGACCAAAGTTAATCTAAAGTTGGAGAAACTCAAGCATACGACGTACCTCACACTGCATATTTCTAAGCCTGACCGGACTTGCACTGTATATTATTTGGGCACAGCTAGGAAGCTACTGACTCCCTGCAACGAGGAGACAATAAAATGCTCAAGCACACTCATAAGGCTGCACAATGAGCCAAGAAATGTTGTTGCTGTAGTGGGAACATCTGACCTCCTCAGGTATCGCATATCCAAGGTCACTTCAGAAGTGTGCAGCACCAATTAAAACTTCTGCCTTGCAATTTTTCATGGATAATTGGTTCTTCAAGTTACAGGGTACACGTGGTTAGCCTAATTCATCAGCTTTCCAAATCAATACATGTTCGGGCCAGCAATCTTAAAAGGTCAAAACAATTGAGTGCTCAAAGAGTCGAAGCTCCATTTTTTTATATTTTAACCTGGACAGAAACATTTTATTCTAAAAATTGTACCAGCAATAGCAAAATGGCTTTACATTTCCGAGATCTGATTTCCATTGGTATTTGCTAAGGCCATCCACATGGAGTTTTATTGCATTAAAAATTCCTTTCACAGGAGACATCGCAGTAACTCTCTTTACATGGTATCACGTGCAGACAAGCGCACCGAGCAGGAGATCCTCAGCTTGCAGAAGTGCATCTGGGTCTGGCAGACTGGCTGTAAACACCAGCTGTGACCAGGACAGGCAAGTGACCCGTATCGATGCACATAGGTGGTGAGGTAGGTGGTGGCCTCCACAGCACAGTATCCATAATAGACCCTCTCAGCTAAGAACTATTCAGAAAACAGCCACGCAACAACTGCTTTGCAGCAAAAACACCACATTTAACCCTAGAATTTCACAAAGGAGATTCTCTGCATTATTTGGGCTTTGATGGAAAAAACTCCAGGGTTGCCCCCCAGCCCCAGCGAACAGGACAGTCTGCAGAGGGGCAGAGCTGAGCGTGCTCTGGTTGTGGGTTTAGAACCTGTATGAAACCAAAGACCCTGAGTCTCTCCTCCACAGCCACTTATTTATTTCAGGAAAACACCGTCGGCCACTGCGCTGCCGCTCCTAATCTGCACCGCTGCTCACAAAAGCGGAGTAAGGACCACCTTCTTCTGGCTCGTCAGTGAATCACTAACACATCTTCGCTGCCACAACTCCGCATCTTTTGTTGGACCAAGACAAAGGCATGAACGACAGCTACAGTCATTTCTGCTCTACTTCAAGCACTAAGAAAATCAGCAACACTATTATGGGAAAATACTTATCGGATATTCAGTGGGAACAACAAATAAGAAATTACAAGGGAAAAAAAAAACCTTTTTCAAATGAAGATGCACTTCCACCCACTTGAGTTGCTGATCACTAGGCTTTGCATTCAAACAAACAAACAAAAAAACCCCAAACACATACATTTCTATTTCTTTCATTTAAAAATAATCATTATTTGTTTTTCCTCATTGGAATGAAAACAACATACATTTTTTGAAGGAGAAAGAAACATTTGGGTTTGTCTGAAATTAAAACTGGGCTTCAGGGAGGGGACTTGTAGTAAAGGCACAGGATACAGAAGGTCAGACGCAGAAAAGCCACAATGCTCTTACTGGGGAAAGAGATCCCGTCTTACCCAGCAGTACGAGCCCAGGATTCAGATCCCTTTTTCATCTAATGTTCTTTGAGTTCCCATCTTTCTTCTCCTAAGAAAATGTATCAATACTTAAAATATTCTGCAATCGGTCTTTTTTGGTTTATCCTTTTCGGACTGACCCACTTAGCATAAAGCACTGAGCCAGAAAGAGAAACAGCGACCGAACCACAAGCTAAGGAAAAAATTAAAAAAAAAAAAAAAGGTTCTTCTGTTTCTGTATCTGCCTCAATAAATAGCAGATGAAATAGTTCCAGCTAGGAACTAAGAAATCCAACAAGTATTTATGGAAAGTGACTTCCAGAGCCGTGGTTTGGGAACATTTTTTGGGAAAAGGATATGGGTTCACACCAGATTCACAGGCAGGGAAGAAACCTGACGTGTTCTGTCACAGCTTCAAAGATGGGCACTGCCACTAGGGCAAGGGGAAAAAAAAAAAAAACCACCAAGAAAAAATGAAACCAAACTAAAAAACATTTGCAGAACTGTTTAGCAGATTGGGTTGCACTCACAGATTTTTTTGGACTACGTAGAATTGATTTTTTTGGCAATCAATTTGTTTTTCAAAGTAACAAACTGCCAAGATCTGCTTCTTACAATACAGTATTCCCTGGTCACAAATGAACGAATTGTTTGAAATCAAGATCTATAAAAGAGGCATTTATAATTTGGCAATTATAAGACCAGCAGTGCAGGAATCAGCTGCCTTTGCAATTGTTTTGCTTCAGAAACAATGCATTATTCAGAAGAATAGAAAATGGGTTCCATAATGGGTACAGTAGATTGTGATTGATAGAAGGAGACACCATTAGGATTGAATGTTTTCTGCTCCGTGATGATTATGCTGCATATTTATTTCACTGTTCTTTCTTACGCTCCTATAAATAGGCTTTCTCTTACCTATTCCCAGAGCTAGAATTGTTTTCAGTAATGCCAGAATATTGCTCCTATTAACCATTTGAGGAAAAAACATCTGCACGATACAGGAATGGTTTCTACCCAAAGCACTACCATTAGTTTCAAAATAGATCTCCCAGATACTCCTGTGTCTAGCTGGTAGCTGACTTAATTTTTTTTTTTTTATTTTATTTTTATCTTCATTATCAGATTTACACTTGTTTACACTGTAGCTATCAATGCAGTCTAAGTGCACTTTAGAGTCTTTAGGGAAATATTAAATAGTTGGCTGTGATCCTCAGCACCAGCTGACTTGGTTTAGGTAGGAGAACCAAACGCAACAAACATCAGCCCACAGAAACCAGGAGGACTGAATCACTCTGGCTTTCATCTGTCTCTGTTTTCCAAGGTGAGCTTTCTTTGACCATTAGGATTATTATATCTATTTTTTTCTCAGCACCTGCTCTGCAAGTGAAATGCATGAGGTACGCCCAAAGCTCAGTTACCTCTCTTAAAACTGAAGATTCTGGCCCAGAATTATTCGTTTTATTGAAAGACCTACCCAGTAAAAAGAAAAATAAATTAACTGTATTATCTTTAAATTACAATTTGTGAAAGACTCAATTTACAGAAACAAACAGCTTCTCTTTGCTGATGGGAAAAGTCACGTGGGAATACGCGAGATGGTATCTGATACAGCGCGGGACTCGGCTGCGGGACACAGGGCGTCCTTGTCTGCCCCACGTTGCTATGCCCTGGTTGTACAAAAGCTTCACAGAGTAAAACCTTCCGTGCTCTAAAGTGTTTTTTTAATTGAAGAGTGTATAGGACTGACTGTGCTGTAGTAAATTGCAAGCAGTTTGGGTTTAGTACCTTTGAAACCTTCATCTCTGACAACTTTGGCTGAAATTGGTTAGCAGTTTTCAGACGTTACTGGAGATAGAGAGGTGGTGGATGACACCCTCGCTCAGGAGACCACACAAATTCGTGAGCCGTGTCTGAACTTCTTCTGCCAGTAAGTCTGAATCCCCAAAGCAGAGGTTTCCATTAGAGCCCTCCACTCCCGAACAGCAGGGGATACCCAACTCCCACCCCACCACTCACCCTGCATAAGGTCTGCCCAAGCACGCCTTTGGGGCCACCACCCAAAGCTAGCTGGGAGGTAGGGCGTGCAGGTCAGGAGGAGGGTGCTAGAACTGTAAACTCAGACCAAACCTTTCTGAGGATTTGATTAAATACTCCTTGCAGCTCCTAAAATGTTCATTTTCATTGGGCCACACATGGAAAATAACCAAATATGCCAAGAAAGTCTCTTCTGGCTCTGCCAAAACCTCTGGACATCTCGTTGCTTGAACATTCAGGGTTTCCAAGCAAAAAACATGGAGCTCAAATAAACATTGCTCAACAACATAAACCGATCAGCCGTCTGAAGCTTGCCCAGCAGTAGTCATCTGGATCGCTTGTGACTTGACAGCTGTTACCATTGCTGGGTAATTTTGTAATGTGTGAAATGGGGTTGCACCCCTCAGCTCTTCCACAGGCTGCAATACTTGCCGTTTGCTGCCATACACAGATTTCCAGCTGAGCAAACTTACTTTAAAACTTTTTCTAATACTTTTCAGTAAATCTAGCCAGAAAGTTCTCCTGGACAGACGAGATGCTGGGACATACTTACGCCACAATCCCCGAAAGGTGAAACATTTCGGCAGTGAGGTAGGAAAGATAGCTGAACAGGAAGACAAAGAGTGGTTCGATGACGCGGATATCCTTGGTGAACCGCGTGGTAAAGGCGGCAGTCATCCCAAAAGTAAGACCAACTAAAACTCCTCCTAGCCCAACCACAAAGAATTTTCCAACTCCAGCAAAAATATCCACACTTTTGACGGCTGGCATTTCACAGAAAGATCGAAATAGCTTGTAGAGCACCTGGGTGAAAAATGAAAGAGGAAAACCAGCCGTTAACAAGATACTCAGACATGGCCATATGTAGCAGTGACACTAAAATAAGCTGCCGGGATGTCTGCCCGTGCGGGGTCAGCATCCTTCTCTGGAGGCCAGGCTCCTACCAGGGGAGTGTTGTGGCACTCACTTGTATTTCTATCTCCAGACACACAGTCGAAGAGATGTTCACCTGAAAGCTTCTCCAGACCTCAGGCCAGAGAAGGGGACCAGGAGTCCTCTGCTAGAAGAGGCTGTTGATGCCTTTTCCGTCTGCAGACCTCACGTCCCACCTCTCAGCACCAGCCCATCCTTCCTCATGGAATCATAGAATCATAGAATCGTTTAGGTTGGAAAA